CCTCCCCGCCCCCGCCGTCCCCGCCGCCCGCCGGCAGCCGCAGCTTGCGCGTGATCTCGCGGTAGAGCAGGTCGTCGCGGCTCTGCACGGCGTCGTGCAGGAACTGCAGCTTGGTGCGGCGGCCCATGACCGGCACGGAGAAGGGCAGCGTGACGGTGCGGTTGAGGAAGAGGTAGCCGTTGTCGGCCGTGCCCTTCATGTTGCCGGCGCTCTCGAGGCACGCGGCCAGGATGCTGGGGTCCACCACCAGGATGAAGATGAAGGGCGCGTGGCTGTCGGACAGCAAGGTGTTGATGGCGTTGAGCACGCCCACCACGCGCTCCGGGTAGCACGTGTCCAGCCCGGTGACCTCGAGCACGATGCGCAGCCGGCGCCGCTGGTAGATCTCCAAGAAGCACAGGAAGTCGGTGAGCAGCTCCACCTCCTTCTTCACCTCGCACATGAAGCCCAGCTGGCTGCCGAACTTCTCGCGCGACACCAGCCGCTCGATCTTCTTGCGCTGGCTCACGAACAGGTGCTTGCCCACCGAGTACACGGCCTGGGAGGGCAGGACCCCTGTTGTCTTGGTCACCGCTATGTCCCCTGGGCACTGAGGAGGTGCTGGGGGAATAATGGATCATGAGAGGTCTGGGGCAGGGCTTGTGAGGGCAGAAGACGGACGGGCAAGACTGTCTGAGTCGCCGAGCACGGAGTAGGAGCTCCACAATGCTCTCTTCCCTTATACCCTAATCCTTTCCCATCCCAGGACCTTGTTTATCCCTCTGTGACAACACAAGGGGCAGGACATGGACTTATTTGGTAGGTGCTTACTGAATAGTCAGCACAGGAATGCAAGGCTATTGAGCCTGCACCAGTGCTGGGCACACGGAGGACGAGAGCCACCCGTCGCTCTGGCCAAGATTCGGGCAAGGTCTGAGCTCCGGCAGGGTTTAAACCAGGTCAGAGCTGCGGTGGAGCCTGGTCAAGTTTCAGCTCATGTCTTCAATTAACATCTATCTGTTAGGTGTCATGTAAGTGCCAGGCCTTGGGCCAGCGCTGAGGAACAGATGGGTCTGGGGGACACAGAGGTTAGTAGGGGCTTGTCAGGAGCCTGCGGCCTCAGTGAGGAACGTGGGCTTTCTCTCTAGGGTGCTGGGGAGCATGGAAGGCTTTTGAGCAAGGGGGGGACAGGACCCTAGAAAGATTCCTTGGAGTAGGTTTGGCAAGGGAAGGGGAGACAGGGGAGAGAGGGTGAGACTTGGAGGCAGCCAGGCCAGGGAGGACAGTGGAGCAGGGATCAGGGCAGAGGCTGTGGGCATGGGAGGAACCTGATTACTGCTGAGCTATGAGTGCTTGGTCTGGGGCAGGCTGACCTCAGGAGTGAGTGGATCTTGGGGCTGCCTGGAACTGGGCAGGGACCAGAGGTTCCATTTCTCATTTCCCTCAACAAACACACATCCTCACCTGTGATCTTGTCCAGCATCATGTGCAGGCGGCAGCCAAAGGGAGCGTAGAAACCCACAGTCACGGGGACTGGCACATGGCAGAGAGTCTTGGCCAGGCAGCTGCAGTAGACGTCATCCTCTGTCAGGATGTCTGGGGGTCGGGGATCAGGGTGGGAAAATTGAGTCAATGAGGCTGGCCAGGCACCACCCTCCTCCGATCTGCCCTCTAGCTCCCACCTTCAGTCCCTCCATAACTCAGGTTAAACCCTGAGCCCAGGCTTAGGAGAGAGGTGTGCAGACCCAAGTCCCAGTCTTAGCCCTGCCACCCTTCTCTGCAGGACATGGCGAGGGCAATGCCTCAGAGCAGCAAAGACATCAGGGGCACAGATGCGAAAGGGTCTGGCCAGGGCCAGGCCCTCGGTCAATGCCACTGTCTTGAGTGGCCATTTAAGGCACAAAGTTCAGTTTAAGTCCTGTTCCTGTGGAGGCCCCGGCCACCATGTACAAGCATTACAAAATCCACTCTGCAGATCTGGAATTGGGGTGCTAGAATGGTAGGGCTCAATCGTGGGGGGCACCTGGCCAGCCTCACGGTACATGGTGGGGACAACACATCCACAACACACCCTGTAAAAGGGACCAGGTGGGCTGCAGGAAGGGTTGAGCCTAGCAGCAGAGCCAGGAGGGCAGGAAAAGACTCAGGACAAGGACGGCTGAGGTGGTGGGCAGGGAGGCTCTAACTCCGGCTCTACCTGATTGCTGCGTGACCTCATTTCACTCAGCCTTTATTTCCCTGTGTGTGAGATGGGCATCATGGCCCTGAGGCTCCAGTGACAAGGCTGTGTCCAATGTAGAGCCTGAGTCCCTGTTGAGCAGCAGCTCCACTTTCAAACCAGACCTAGCAGCCATCAGCGTGTCCCCACCCCCACTGCCACAACCCTGGTCAGGCCACCAGCACCTTTTGCCTGGACTCTGGCAAGTCACCTGCCCCTGGCCACCTGCTGCTGCTCTCCCTCCTACAGCCCATTCTCCTGGTAGATCTGAGTCAGCCATGTCCCTCCCCACAGTGATGGCCTCCTTGCTGTCCCAGAACTTGCCGCCTTTGCATTTGTTGACTCTGCTGCACGGGCTTTGCCCAAGTGTCGCCTTAATGAGGCCTAGCCCCATGACCCTATTTAGTCTCCAAACCCAGAAGCCCCCGGTCTCCTATCCCTGCTTTATTTTTCTCTAATGTGGTCGTCACTTTTAAACTTATTTATCTTGTTTTCTGTACCTGCTCCCCCCCAATAGAAAATGAGCTTCCAGAAGATTCCAGAGATCTCTTTTTGCCGTGCTCCCCACCGTCTCCTATCCCTGCTTTATTTTTCTCTAATGTGGTCGTCACTTTTAAACTTATTTATCTTGTTTTCTGTACCTGCTCCCCCCAATAGAAAATGAGCTTCCAGAAGATTCCAGAGATCTCTTTTTGCCGTGCTCCCCACTGTACCGCCAGAACAATGCCTGACACACACTGTAGGCGTTCAGTACCTACTCATGGAATGAATGAGTGAGTGAGTGATTAGACCCCTCTCATGTCTGCACGGCTCTCTGCTCCCCAGGCCACTCCCTACCTCTTGCTGCAGCTTCACACTGGACCTCCCCACACCAGAGCTGGCCAACAAGCTGGTGCTTGGTGGGGGTCATCCCCTGCCGCATGTCCTCCATGGCCTGCTGAGCCAGGGGAGGGAGGGCTTGGAGAAGAGGAAGCAGAGCCAGGGTGTCGGCAGAAGGAGAGGGAGGCCCCGTGAATAGGCCTGGCCCAGAAGCCTTATACCCCAACAGGTGAAGCAGAGGCAGCTGGCCTGGGTCCCAGGGTCAGAGCTGAGCACACCTCCTGGACAGGGACAAGAGTGTGGGATGAGGAGGCTGGCCCAAGGTGCTAGCCAGGGAGCAAGAGGCCCAAGTGGGAAGTAAGGCAGCAGAAGCTGGGGACAGAGCCCCCAAGAAGGCCTGTGTGAGCACCAGAGCTGTAGGAGGTGAAGGAGCCGCAGGCTGCTGGGGCAGGCAGTGGCCGGGCATCCGTGGGCTGGCTGGGCTCCAGGAGGGTGCTGGCTGCAGAGGGTAGGGCTGGGCTGCTGCTGGCCATGGCGGGTGCTGCAGTGGGTGCAGGGGGAAGCTGGGGGGCGCTGGCTGTTCCCATGGGGGCAGCAATGGTTGAGGGCAGCCCCTTCTGGTGCCCGTGGTGAACAGGGCAGAGCCGCTGCCGCAGGGGGCTTGGAGGTGGGGGCTGGGGCTGTCGCTGCTGTGGTGAGATGAGGGGCTGGGGGCCCCAGCGCCAGCTGCCACCACCCCCCAGGTGGCAGTGGTAGGCCAGCTGCCAGGATGACTGGGGGGACAGCCGACAGGGCCCATGGGCTCGAGGGGCCGCTGGGTCATGACACCACTGCTGACAGCATCCTGGAAGGAAGGAAGTGGGGGTGACTGGCCCTGGGTCCCTGACCCTGGGTGCTACTAGCACAAGCCAGGTAAAGTCTTCAGGTGGAGGCTGGGGCTGGAGCATTCTTGGGAGCCCCAGAGGCCCAAAGAAATTGGACAGACAATGAGGGGATTTGCGGGGGTGGCGCCCAGAGCCTGCTCTCCCATGGGTGGGAGGAGGGCAGAGGTACAGGGGCCTGGACTACCGTTGGACAAGGGGCTGGAGAAAGGACAATGCCTGGGGTTTGTGCATCCTCTGTGGAGGATGGTCAGTCCCTGCTACTCCAAATTCCCACATCCCTCGGGGGTCCCCCTGCGTAGGTGGGTGGGGGACTGCTGAGAGAAATCCACTGGGAGCTGGCCTGTTTGGTCCAGAGGAGACTGGAGTGATGGGGGATGGCCATGAAGAGGGGACATGTCAGGTATTGGAAAGTGAGGGGGGTGGACCTTGTCCCTGGGTTCAGGCCAGGCTGGCAGTAGGCTGCTGACCTGGGAGGTCGGGCGCCCGCCCAGGCCCTGAGGAAGCTGAATCAGCTCTCATGGGAGGTAGCCACCCCCTCCCCACTGCGCAGGAGCGCCTGCAGTCACCATCGGAAGCCGAACCCCCGCCTCATTCATACACATTCAGCGTGGGGGTTCCCTCTTCTACCCCTCCCCCTCACCACACTGCTTCCCTCCAGGTTGGGGGTCTGTGCCCACACACCTGGGGATTTGGGGAGGGTGAATTCTTCCCACACTGGGGAAAGGAGCAGGCCGGGTGGGCCTCCCCTGCTTCCATCCCAGCCCAGGCTCCTACCTTTGGGCCTCCCCGCCTCCCCCCCAGGTCCTGTGGTCCCCCACCTCCAGCCCCACTATGCAGAATCTTCTTCAGGGAGTGCTGGCAGCTATTCTCTCTTGGGGTCTGTAGTTCTCTGCTCAACCATGCACTCAGGCTCTCTCAGAGGCCTCTACACCTGCCATGACCCACCCCCCAAAGAGAACCCTTACCTTTTTGGTGTCCCAATTCTGGGTCCCAGAAGTAGTGTTCAGTAGGGGTCCAGGTGGCCTTGGAAAAGTGAATGTTGTAGTGTTTGTGCATGGCGGCTGGGCAGCTCCTGGGGTGGGAGGGAGAGGACAGCTCCTTGTGACCCTGGACAGGTGAGAGGACTGGTCCTTGGGTCACCCATGGGGTGGGGTGGGCAGAGGTGCTCTTCAGAGTAAAGGTGAGAGGTCAGAATGGGGAGGGATGGCCAGACAAGGGAGGACAGAGAATGGTTGGGCTAGGAGCTAATTTGGGGTTGGGCGGTTGGGAGCCCCTGGGAGTTTAGAGGCCAGGACAATGGGGAGTGCTAAGCAGACATGGGCTGGAGAAACGGGGGAGCTGGTATGGTCACTGAGGGCTCTGTCCCTCAAGCCTGGGGATCTCAGGGGCCGGGGGAGGGCGCTGTGGGAGGCTGGTGCCATTTGAAGGGATATAAAACCAGTACGGTGAGTTGGGGGGCAGCCAAGAAACTGAGGGTGACTGGAATTTCAGAGCTGGCTACACTTGACTGAGTGACGGCACAGAGGGAGGGGAATTCTGCGGGAGCAATGAAGCCATGGTGGCCGATCTGGAGCAACATGTGGTGTGCTGGGTTTAAAGCGTGACGAGCCGAAAACAGAGCGGAGGAAAGGGTGCTATGTGGAGGGCAGGGACAGGTGAGGTCTGAGGGGCAGAGGGAATTGGTGAGGGTTGGGGGCCAGGTGTGTGGCCCTGCCTGCTGCCTCCCCCGGCCCAGGGTCTCCCCATACCTGAGGGTGGCCTCGCGGCCCCAGCTTCTAGCCCAGCAGCAGCCGCCACCGAGCTACTGTGCCAGCCCCAAATCGACTGTCAGCACTGGCCCAACAGGAGAGGCCCCAGCGAGTGCCCGCCCAACCGGTTTGCCCACCTGGCCCCGCCCCTTCCCCAGCATGCCTGCCCTGGCCTGGTACTCTCGAGGACTGGGTGCCCCACATTCCCACACCGTACACTACTGGGTAAGGGATGGAGATGGAGCCCACGGTGCTGCCTGGGGCTCCTGGCACCCAACTGTTCCCTGGGCACTTCTGCTATGGGGGAAGGAAGCTGGGACAGGGAGTGGGAGTCCGCCAAGAGGACACAGCCTGGCTCGGATGCCAGTTCCTCCGGGACCCAGGTGTGTGACCTTGGGCAAGTGACTTCACCTCTCTGGGCCTCAGCTTCCTCATTGCTGAGTGGGCCTCACTGTTGGTGCCTGCCTCTCGTGGTTGTTGGGAGGAATCAGGAGTCCACTCAGCTCAGGGCCTGGCACTTAGCAAGGGCGGCAGCTGACCCATTTACTTAGGCGCTGCTCCAAGTGCTTCATGTATAACAGCAGCAGCACATGTGTGAACGCTTCCGAAGAGGAACCCTTTCCTCCTCACTATGACCCCGTGGGGCTGGTGTGATGCCCACTTTACAGATGAGAAAACTGAGGCCCAGAGACACCCTCACCCCAGGCGCCACAGAGGCAGAGGAGGGATTTGAAAGCATACAGTGGCTGTGCTCCCAGGCTTGCCAAGGCTCTGGCTCCCAACTGCTGGGCAAGCAGTCAGTGCATGTCTCCTTGCAGATGTCTTTTGAGAGATTAGGCCCAGGGTGGGCCTGGGCAAGAGGAGCATTAGCCCTGGAGGCCCGTGTGCTCTCCAGGGTCCTGTCTCCCTGCAGCTGCTGGTGCTATGGGGTAGACAGTCGCTTCCCTGAGAGACGGGGTGGTCTGACGAGATGAGAGATGAGATGATGAGACGGGGGAAGGGAACCCCAGAATAGTGCCTGGGACAAATGGATACAGGACAAAATAGTGGGAACCCACCCAGTCCTGCAGGGCGTCCCCTACAGGGGTTCTGCCTGGGTGACCAAACAGTGCCACCAATTGCTGGAACTGTGCCCCCTCTCTTCTCCACAGTCCTTCAAGCTGATTCTTCTGGGAAGTCTTCCACCTCTGTCCTCCTGAAGCTCCCTGACCCATCAGGGAGGCAGGGCTGGTGTGTGTGCGTGTGGGGTGAGTCTGTGGTAAGCCTCCTTGCCAGTCCCCCTCCCCCTGTCCCAGCACACAGTTTAGCTGAGTAACTTCCATTTACACTTGGAAAACATGTGCCCAGGGCTCCTGAGTGCCAGCGCCCAGAGCAGGGTCCAAAGGACCCAAGGAGAAGCGTGTCCTAGTGTAAACTAAACACCTCGGGGCAGGATGAGGGTGTCCAGGACTGTGGGAGCACAGAGGGTGAGTGACTAACCACCCTCAGGGGCCAGGTGGCCACTGGGCACTGACAGTGGAGGAGTTTGGGAGTGGGCCAGGCAGGGAACATGCAAAGGCACAGAGGAAGGCCAGGGGGCATGGAGCTCAGCCAGGTGGGCTGGGAAGGGGCAAACCAAGGTAGGGCCAGATGGGGTGTCTGAGCCAGACTCTACAGAGGCTGGGGAGACCCTGCCCACTGGGAGTGTCTTAAGCAAGAGGACCCTTCCTCATCCCGTCAGGATCTCACCTCCAGACTTGGCTGACAGTTCTGAGGCCAGAGTACTTACCCTCATTAGGCCGCGGGGTGGCAGAGCCCAGGCACAAGTCCAGGTGTGTGATGCTCCCTGATGCTACAAATGCAAATGGGGGTGGGCAGGGTGAGGGCAGAGAGGCTCTGGCCGTGACTCCTATTTCCCAGGCATGTGAAGTGTGTTTGCGTGTGTGTGGTGGGGAAGAGATGAGGGTGTCCAGCCCCTACCCCACCCCTTTTCCCCATCCGTCCTCAGCCCTGGCAGCTCCAGGCCCACCCCTCCCCCTGCCAGGTGTGGAGGGACGAAGGCAGCAAGCTCGAGGGCTCAGGCTACAGGATGGAGGTGGTGGGGGGCCCTGAAGGGAAGGTTCTGGGGTGGGGGAGCCACAGGGGGTGCTCTGCTCATATGCAGGGCCTGTGGCAGTCGCTCTATAGATGCCCCCCCTTCCACTTTGAACCTTATTCCACACACAGAACCTGTATTGAGCACCTGCCGTGCAGAGTGATGTGTCCGATGCAGGGAATCCCTTCACACCAGTCCCAACTGTAGTAGGGACCACTTTGCCTCCCGTGATGCCCCCCAACTCTTTCATACCCACTTCTTGAGCATGCGATGCCCAGCACGAGCCCTAAGTCCACCCCCAAACGCAGTGGCCAGGGTCTCTGGGCCAAAGCATCTGCTGTTAACTTGAAGGGGGTGAGGGCCAGAGGCAGTTGTGAGGCTCAGCTGGGGGTGGCCTAGGGGTCCTTGGGATTTCTGGATCACTGCCTGGAACTTACCTGGAAGAGAAGGGCTGGCTTTAGCTTGAGGCTGGGACCTGGGGAAGAGCCAGAAAGCACCTGAACAGCTCAGAGCTGTTCATCCCTGCTCTGCGCTGACAGCATGGGTGGCCGGGGCTGGGCCTTAGTTTCTTCACTGGTCAAAGGGGGTGGTGTCTCCACCCACCTGACCTGCATCCCAGGGCTGTGTGAGTTACTAGGGGCACATAGGCCAAGCATGTAGGCTGCTGGGGAGGGGCCCAGCACGGGCTTCTGTGGCATGTATTGCTCAGGTCCTGTCCACGGCTCCCAGGTCCCCCCCGATGAGTGGGCCTAGGGAACCAGCACAGGAAAGAGTAACTGGGGAGGGAGGGAGATGGTTTAGCTGCAGGTTTTGGGGTGGGCTGACCCCAGGTAGGAATGGGGCTTCAGCTTTTCTTTTTTCTTTTTTTCCTTTTTGTCTTTTTTCGTGACCGGCAACGGATCGCAACCCTCAGTGTCGCACCCGTACCGGACCGGGACCGGCCACGGGATAGCAACCCTCGGTGTTGCCCCCGCCCCTCGCTCAGCCAGTGAGCGGCCGGTCTGTATGTGGGATCCGAACCCTCGGCGGGAGCGCCGCCACGCTTCCCAAGCGACGCACTATAGCAGTGCGCCACCGGGCCGGCCCCTGGGGCTTCAGCTTTTCTGATGGAGGACCTACAGCCCAGAGGGCCCAAGTAGGTCAGGAAGGTTGCAAGTCCCACAGGGCCTGACTGCCTCTGGAGCACCCATTGGAGTCCCAACCAGGATGACTTCTGTTATGTCCACCTGCATTCCTGTGCTGGGAAGAAATATTTGAAATTACTAAACAGTTCTCTCCTCAGAGCCAGCACACCCCAGGGAAGCATCTGGGTGACATCACAGGGTGAGGGGCATGGATGGGCCTGTATCAGCTGTGTGGCCTGGGTAGGTGACTTAAGTTCTCTAGGCCTCAAATTCCACAACTGTAAAATGGGCCTTGGCAACCTGGGCCCACCTCCTTGGCACCCACGTAGGAACAGGGGCAGGAGAGCTCTGGAGCCCCCATCACACTCAAGGGATGAGAAGATTCCCCCCCTCCCCATGACTCACAGGCACACAGAGCTGCCACAGAGGCAGTGACCAAGCTCTCAATGCCCAGGGTACTAAGGGTGCCACGCGGGCCGCCGCAGGTGAAAGCCAGGAACTGGGATGAGACACAGACCATTGTGGGAAGAGAGGGGAGGCCAGCACCCACCCAGGTCCTGGGCTTTGGGACACCCCCTAGGCCTAGGGAGAGGTCTAACTTGAGGTAGGGTTGGATAAATGGATGAAGTTCCAGTCCCCACCCCCATACCTTGGGTGCCTCATCCAGATACTGCAGGCCGGAGGCCATGGAAAGAGACCACTACATTTGTAGTGGGGGGAAGGAGAAGCCAGGACCCAGCACTCCCACCCCATTGGGCTGAGGTCTGGGAGGATCCCTCCCCCAGAACCGCTGTACTCATGGGTCCCATCCTTCAGAGCTGCAGAAGGGCACGGGCCCCTGACTTGGGCTTGGTGTCCACCCTTCAGGTTGTGTTGATCCTGTCACTCCGACTGCACGACTCCCCAAGATAAAGAGTCCCTGACTGCTGGGGTTCTGGTGAGAAGCTGCAGACCCTGCCCAGGAAGTGGCTGGTGAGGGCTGGGCACTGCATTGGCATTCAATGGGAACTCAGACCAGCCTGAGACAAGCAGCATCATGCCAAAGGACGATGCTGCCAGCCATGAGAGGCCTCTGCCTGCTCTGGGGCTCAATCCTGGGAGGCTTGTGGAAGTTCTGGAAATAGCCCTGTAACACCTCATGGCAGCCTCCCTGCCTTCGTTAGAGGATCGGACAGAGGCCCCAAGGAGGGCTGTGGTTGCCAGTGGGAAACCTGGACTCCCACCTCCCAGCTTTGGGCTGGCTCCCAACTGGCCTATAGGAGGGTTCCCCTCCTCGCTCTTCCTGGTTACAACCTCAGCTCTGGCACTAGTGCTGGGCACCCACCTGGTGACTGGGGCAGAGGCTGTCCATCTGCTTTTGGAACACAGCTACCCACAGGTCTTTGCACAGGAACTTGAGGGCATCCAGCTCCTCCCTGAAGGCCAGCATCTCCTGGGGCAGCCTGGTGGGGCAGGGGCAGACATTTGGGCCAGGCTGATGCTGGGGGGTCAGGCCAGGGGCCCTGGGTAAGGAAGAGGAAGCCAGGTGAGGTTCCTACATGGAGCGATGAAGCCTGCCCTGCCCCGGGTGTGCCCAGGGAGGACCCAAGGCTGGCCCCTGCCAGCAGGGGTGGGGGAAAGCAGCAGGGGCCGGCTCTCACCTCTCACCCAGAGCCTGGCCCACGTGGCAGCCCATGCCCTCTAGGACAGACAGGTTCATCTTCTATCCCTAGAAGGCCAAAGAGAGGCTCAGGGAGCCCTTGGCCTTCTTCAACCAGGAGCCACCTGGGGTGGCAGCTGCAAGAGGACTCCAACTTGCTATGCCTGTCAGTTCAGGGTGAGACGAGGGGAGGGAGGGGCTTCCTGCACAGCCTAGCCAGGGCCAGGCCTTCAGTGTGCTGGCTTTGCCCCTCCGCCCTGGGTTGGCCCGTTCCCTCACCCACCTCTGCAGTCCTTGTAGGTGTCCCCTTTCGGTGTGAATCCTTACAAAGCCCTGTGAGGAGGGCACTGTGACTACCCCAGAAGTTCAAAGTGACTTGCCCAAGGGCTCATGTGGCAAGAGCACCAGGCTGGGTCACAGGAAGGGGGATTGTGAAAGTGAACTATGACTATCACATCTTGAAACCTGCCAAGGTCCGTAGGAAGGACACACAGGGACTCAGGGGAAGGAGATCTTTGTCTGGGTGCTCAGGGAAGGAGGTAGTGGCCAAGTGATATCTGGAGGGAGGCAGAGGGAAGGGGACTACGGGAGGGCTGCGCTTGGTATCTGTCCATGGGCCTGCATTGTGGATGGCTCAGCTGGAGGAGAGGCTTTTATGTATTTTCTCACTTGGGTGACCTGGAGAGAGCTGAGGAAGGCCCAAATTGGGAGCATCAGAAGTCCCAGGACAGCCCACCCATGGCGTGAGGCACTGAGTCTCAGAGAAAATCTGGCAGACTAGAAGTAGAAGAGAGAAGAGGGGGCTGCAGAACCCTGGGAGGAAGGAAGCTTGTCCTCTGCTGGCTCCTCTTAGGGGGATGCAATCACCAGGCCCAAGCCCCTCCTAACCCTTCCTCTCCTTCCCCGACCTGCCCTCGGGAATCACTACAGAATCCGAATCTGAATCTTGGGCCACACAGCCTCTGAATCATGGGTCACACAGCAACGGCACCATCTGAATAACAGGTGAAAATTCTTGCTTAGCTCCAGCCCAGGAGAGCATGTCCTGGCCTCCTCAGCAGGCTTCCTGCAACCTCCCCAGACCCAGCTGTCCCTCCTCCACCCTCTCCTCTGTCCCTCAAAGACACTTCCTTAGGCCAGGAATGCTCAGGCTTCTGGGTCTCTGCACTCCTGTTCCCTCTGCCCGACTCCTGGAAGCTGTCTTTACGTCCCTCGCAGCTTCCAGCCCTGCCCACTCTGCGTTGTCACTGAGTGAAGAGACAGCTCTGTGAGGGTGGGAAACCAAGCTGACCAATCCCCCTCTAGCCCTCAGCAGGCCACACAGGGCTGGATACATGGGAGCTGCTTACCATAATGCTAACCAAACAAAGTGAAGAATCGGGATTTGAGCATATACTAAGTGTCAGGTGCTTTATATACACCCTTTCCTTTAGTTTTAACCACCCCATAAGGTCAGCTGTATTTCACACTGGAAACTGAGGCTCAGAGGGTTAGGAAGAATTTACCCAAGGCTCACTCAGCCACAGGGCAGGTCTGGCTTCCAAGCCCAGATGGGTGGGTAGGACAATACCCCCAGCTGTCCTGGGCATCGGGGAGGGGGCAAGGGCTGAGGTTCACTGGGTGGGGAGCTCAGGGAACAGGGAGGCATGAGCAGAGATAACCCACATTTCAAATCAAAGTGCCTCTCACCCCTGCCTGGCCGCCTGGCAGCTTCCTGTTGGACCACACTGGCACTATCTCTGGTATCACCTGGTTTTCCCAGGCACAGCAGGGCCAGCCACGCAGGAAGATGCAGGAAATCCATGTGGGTGCAGGAGGGAGGCAGAGTAAGGGGGAACAGTCTACACTTTCTGCACGGCAATGCAGGTAGGAGGAGGCCCCTGCCACGTGGGTCCCACTCACACCAACGCTGCCTGGTGGCTTGAATGCTGGGACCCACATCCACCTGCCTGGTCCAGATCTGCTCAGGTATGGGACCTGGGGCAGCGGCTAACTGCCTGTGCCTCAGTTTCCTCATGAGTAAAGGAGGGTAATGTTAATAGTAGCTACCTCCAGAGCTGGCTGGTTAGCTCAGTTGGCTAGAATGAGGTGGTATAACACCAAGGTCTAGAGGTCAGATCCACATACTGGCCAGCTGCAAAAAAAAAAAAAAAAAATAGTAGCTACCTCTTGGTATCCTCATGGGGAGTAAAGTGGTTGGTAAATGCAAGCCAAGTACTTTCAGTCAGGTTCAGGAAGCATTACCAGCATCGTCATTCACAGCCTGTGTCTGTCAAATGAGGTGACAGCCCCCTGGTTGATGAGGGATGAAGGAGACCCTGGCTGGAAGGAAAACCCTGTGAAGGGAGGGGCTCTGTTCTGTGGGATGATGTATCCCAGCACCTCGTATAGCCTGGCAGTTGGTGAGTTCTCATGACCTGGTGGCCACTGCTCCTGTGTCACCTCCTTTCCAGAGGTAAGATCCTGGAGGGGGGGCCAGCCCGTGGCTCACTCGGGAGAGTGTGTTGCTGACAACACCAAGTCAAGGGTTAAGATCCCCTTACCGGTCATATTTTAGAAAAAAAAAAAAAAGAAAAGTAAGATCCTGGAGGCAGGGGCTGGGCTCCACTCTGTAAGAGCACATCTGTGTTCCTGCTCATGAGGACTTCCTAGTGTGATGGGGGAGAACCCGGAACTCTTGTTCATTTCACAAACATTTCCTTGATGTCCTCCAGGAGCTGGTCTGGTAGGGGTGGTAGGGGTGACAGGTGCCCAGATGATGACAACTGACAACCTGGTGGGAGGGCTGGGAAACCGTATGCAGAGCCAGCTCTTCCAGGAGGGGGCCAAGAAGAAGGAGGAATTCCAAGCAGAGAGCATGTGCAAAGGCAGGGAGGCAGGAAAAAGCAGCCAGCCAAGAATGCAGCTTAGACCGAGAGGGCGGATTCGGGTGATGAGAGACAAGGAGGGGAGGGCCCACCTCCCCCCGCAGACCAGGCTGAGGAGGGTGCATTTTCCCCTTTGGGCAAGTGCAGCCAACCTGAGGGTCAATACAATGTATGCTGCCTGAATGCGGCCACTTATGGACCACAGACAGGGTCCCTCCTGCTGGAGCTGGCACTCTAGCAGGGCGCACACAAGAGCTAAGGGTGCAATGGATGACTTCACGACAGTCATGGAGATTGCCAAGAGGGAGAAAAACTGCATTGTGAGGGTGCCCAGGCTGGGCTGGGGTGTACTCCCAAGGATGTCATGTTCGTGCTGAGCCTTCAGGTGGAGGGGGAGTTAAGTGGCAGTAGAGAGTGGGCTGGGAAGGCACTCTAGGTGCAGGTCACAGCCGGGATAGCAGCCCCAACAGGGCCAGAGATTCAGCAAGGTCCATCAACCTGGCCAGGTTTGCGGAGGGGAGTCCAGAAGAGCTTCCAGCAAGCTCGAGTTTTCCTTCCGTGAACTTCAGACTGCCTGGCTTGGAATCCTGACTCCACCGCTTACTGGATGTGTGACCTTGGGCAGGTTATCTAACTGCCCTGTGCCTCAGTTTCGCCACATGAGCAATGGGGCTAATGGCAGTACCTACTCACAGTGATGGTGTGACCTGCACAAAGCAGCAGCCATTGTTAGCTGCTGGTCCCACTGTACCTGGCCCTTGATAGGGACCAGATATGTGCTGAACTAAAAAGATTGAGAGTGGTAGGGATGGAGAATGATGACAAAAGGGGGGGGAAGAGGAAGTGGGGAGGGAAGGGGCAGAGGACGAGCAGGTGACAGGGGAAGAAAGGGCAGAGGACAAAGGGAGGACACGCCTCCGCCTGCCTTCATCACAGTCCATCTCCTCAGACTTGGTGGAGTCTACCCTGAGTCCACGCCTGAGTCCCTGTAGTAGCTCTTCAGATAAACCTAAGGGCTTATTCTTACAAAAGGACAGCAAGATTCATATGAATCTGCCGAAGCCCCCGGAGTCAGTGCATTTCTGGGGCTCACCACGCTAGCCTCTGCTGAGTTCATACAACAAACTACTGACAGGAAGCGGGATAACATAAGGAAGAGAGGGGGACCCTCAGAGAAGCCTTCTCGGTGTGGGTACTAGTGGTGTCCACGGAACTGCATGGGAGGAAGGAACAATCAGACACAAAGGAAAGTTCCTGGAAATGGACAAGACGGTGGCCAAAATAAACACTTTTAAACAAGGGAGCTGAATAGTAGACAAATCTGTAAGCTAGATAACCCTTCCCAGGTTGTCCAGAAAAAACATGAAGTAGAAAGAAAATGAGAAAAGTTCTAAAATGCATAGAAGAGATCCAGAGAATAATACAGTTGACCCTTGAACAATGTGGGGTTAGGGGTGCTGACCCCCATCACAGTCCAAAATCCACATATAATTTTTAACTCCCCCAAAAGTTAACTAATAGCCTACTGTTGACCAGAAGCCTTACAGATAACATAAAGTTGATTAACATATATTTTGTATGTTATATATGTATTATATACTGTATAAGTATTTTTTCAATAAAGCTACAGAAAAGAAAATGTTATAAATAAAATCATAAGGAAGAGAAAATACATTTAAAAGGCATTTTGATACATTTAAATGCACTGAAATCCATATACAAAGACTCAGAGCAAGCAGTTCAAACCCGGGTTGTTCAGCAGTCAGCTGTATTCATCTGAGCGCCCAAAGGACACACAGGGAACAGTGCAGAAGAAATAACCAAAGAGAAAATAAGAGAAAAATCTTCCCTAAGCTAAGGGAAGATTCCCATGTTCAGATTAAAAAGGGCCACAGAGCTCCAAAGCTGCCCCCAATACATCCTAAGAGACGTGAAAAATGGAGAACATTCTGGACCCAAGCAGAAGGGTGCTGAGTGGGGGCCGTGTGCTCAGCTCCTCCTGCCTCTTCCTGCCCTGCGCCTCAGTTATTTGGGAAGCACCTGCACTCTACTGGGCAGAGGCTAACCCTGTCAATCTCCACCAGCAGGGTCACTCTATGCCAGGCTCAGGGCAGGGGACCCAGGGAAGGAGCAGCCCTTCTTCCCACCTTAAGAAAAGCACAGAGCAACGAGCCAAATTGTTTCTCCAAGGTGAATGGCCCCAAAGACCCAAAAGCAGTGTGGGCAGCAAGTGACCAGGTGAGCGAGGAGTGGGAGGGAGAAAGCCAGCCTAACTCCCGCCCTGCCACCCTCGACTCTCCTTCATTCACCAGGGCGGTCCCCAATCCTGCCTTCTGCCCACGAACCTCTCTGATCTCTCTCCCCATCCTACTTCCTGGGTCCACCTCTCAGGTTTAGCCCCCACTGCCTCTGCCCTGGGCTCCTGCAGCAGCGGCGCTCTTCCCAGCCCAATTCCATCCAGTCCCATTCACGAGGCTAGGAAGGTCTTCCTAAAACGTAAATCTGAGCCAGGATTTACGTTTAAACCCCTCAGTTTAAACCCTTTCATGGCTCCTACCGCCGTCAGGATGGAGCACCAGTTCCCAGTCGGGGCCACAGAGACCCAGCCAATGGCTCCCCTGCCTCAGATGCACAGCGTCCCACTCCAGGGCTCTGCCCTGGGTCCACTTTGCCAGGAACAGCTCGAGTTTCCCGGGCTCTTGCCCAAGGGCAAGGACTGTGTCTGATAGGTGCTCTGTGGGCCTTGGCGGACGAAGGCCTGGCCCAGCAGGGCTCTTCTTTGGGCCTCACAATAGTGGATGACATGCCTTTACTGTGTTTGCTCCTTTGCCCAAAGGTTCCCCTTATCTTCAAAGCTTCTCAGTAGAGAAGCCCAAGCCTCTTCCTCCAAGGGTTTTCCTACTTTGATAACAAAGGCCGTTTGACCTCCTGGCCCTTCTGGCCAGTTTTCCACTTAAACTGTAACAGTCCAGGAGGATCCATTCAACTGCAATAAATGACCACCATCCCAGGCAGGATACAGACATCACAAAAGCCCTACACAAGACTGTGCTCCTGAGTGTCTGTGCTGTGGGGACAGAGGTGAAGGAGCCACCATTCCTGTCCTCAGGAGCTCTGGAGCTGTGGGAGGGGCAAACTCTGATCTACAGACAAGCTCTGGAGCCAGATGCCTGAGTTCTAATTTTGCCTTTTGCTGTCACCATGGCCTTGGGAAAGGCCCTTCCTCTCAAACATAATGTGCACCTCCCTCAGAGTGCTGTTCTGAGGTCGACATCAGATAAGATACATGCTGGGGACAGAATAAGTACCCAAGAAACAGGAGGCTGGCACTTGATTTAGAGGAACATTTACTGGACCAAAAATAAGGAACAGAAAGGAGGAAGGATCGGGAACAAAAGAGAAAAGGACTGTGAGAAAATGACGCAGTTTCCTATGACAGGTTCCCTGAAAACTGGGGCTCCCCAGGTAGAAGGAATAGGGGGAAACCACTGCAGTGCTTGCCCCTGGCTGCACCTGAGGGCTACCAGGGAGCTTTCTGAGGCCAGAAGCCCAGGCCACATCCCAACTGGCTTCAGCACCACAGAGATCCCAGCACCACAATCCCAGTGGCAGTTGGGTAGGAAACCCCTGCTCCAGAGTCCCAGGCACATTCATGTGCTCTGGAAGCACTGTGGTGAGCAAAGCTGAGTAACACAGTGTTTTCCACACTCAACCACAAAAACCCATTAAGATCCTTCCAGAGAACGTCAGGGAAAACACACTGGAAAATGCATGCAAGAGTTTACAGCACAGGCTTTGGAGGTGGGAGGCCTAGTTACATTCCTAACTCTGTCACTTGACAGTACGGAACTCTGTCCATTGAAGCCTCTGCTTTTCCATCTACAAATGGGAGGATCATGCCAACTTTCTGGGTTGTTAGGAGGATCAAATGGAATGAGGAATGTGAAGCCCATGAGAGCACGCAGAAACACTCATAGATGGTAGGAGCTATTGTGGATTATAATACTAAATGAATCCCCATCCCACCCCCACCCTTCACATCACAGGATCTGTATTCACTTCTACAAATCCATGCTGAGGACCCGCTATTTGCCAGGGCCATAGGGTGGTGATTAACACAGACTTGGTCCCAGCCCACACACAGGGCACAGTCTGGCAGGGGAGATGGCTGTGAATCAAAGGATCGTACAGACACACAGTTCTGACACATCCTTATGGAGTGTGATGAGGGCTACCAAGGATAAGGTGGGGAAGGGGGCTGAGAATGTATAAAGGAGACCCAAACTCCACTGGGGGCTCAGCGAAGGCTCCCTAAGGAAGGGGTACTTAGGCCAAGATCTTAAGGATTTACAGGTGTTAACTCGATGAAGATGTGACAGGGGAAGTAAGCCGGGAGAAGAGGGAGCAGGCTCATTTCATAAGGGCAGAGAAGAGGGAGCCTGAACAAGGGCAGAGGTGGGGACAGATGGGAAACATTTAGAAAGCAGAATGGTCAGGGCCTGGTAGAGGGCTGGAGGTGAGGGGAAAAGGCGCTGTGACCCACTTCCCCAAGGCACAGCCCAATGCACAGTACTTCTGCCAAGCTTTATCTTCTTTTTTTTTAAAAAAAGATGACCGATAAGGGGATCTTAACCCTTGACTTGGTGTTTTCAGCACCACACTCACCCAGTGAGCAAACCGGCCATCCCTATGTGGGATCCGAACCCGTGGCCTTGGTGTTATCAGCACCGCACTCTCCCAAGTGAGCAACGGGCGGGCCCCTTAAAAGATTTTATAATAAGAGTTTTGAGTAAATGCTGACTACATGCTAGACATTGTGCTAAGTGCTTTAAAGTTTTAACTCACCATACTGGCCAGCCGCCAAAAAAATAAAGCTTTAACTCATTTATTCTTCATAAGAACCTACTTAAAACATGCCAAGTATGCTCTTACCTCAGGGCTTTGCACCTCCTGTCAGTCTTCCTCAAGTGCTCTTTCACCCACTTATCCACAGGGCTTGCTTCTTCCTCCCTTGTCTTAGTCAGAAAGGCTTTCCTCCATCATCCCCCACCCCACCCCTCCTCTTTCCCTGACTCTAGCGAGGTTTTCTTTATAGAACTTATCATAGCTGATGGCATATTTTAATGTACTGTTTGACTCCTCTTGTGTTAGAACAGTGCCTGGAATATAGTCAGCGCTCCGTAAGTGTGGGTCGAATGAATAAATGTCCCACTCTGAAACTCGGGTACTGTTATGATGCCCATTATAGAAAGGAGGAAACTGAGGCATACCAAGATTAAGTCATTGGGTCGCACACCTAGTGAGAGGCGGAGGCGAGCCCTCAGTGCACGGCCAATAACAACAGCAATTACTGTTATTACTAACCACTTGCTCTGCGCCAGGCCTTGAGCTAAGTGCTTTAGCCTGAGTCATCTTGCTCAATGCCAGCAAAACCCCGCGAGGCGGGCCCCTTCGCGACCCCCACTTTACAGAGGAGGAGGCCGGCGCCCAGCGAATCGGGGAAGCGGCCGGGGTTCGAACACAGGCGGCTGGCGCGCCCCCTGCGCTTCCGGAGGCCTCGACTTGGCCTTCCTGTCACCGCCCGCGCCTCCGCCCCCTGGAGCCTGGCGCTCACCCCCGGGCCGGGTCGGGGTCTTGAGGCCACAGCTCCGCCACCATCTCCGTGAGCAGAAACTCGAACAGCAGCGCGTCCGCCATGACCCAGCCTAGCGCGCCTAACGACCGCCCTACGCTTCCGGCTGCCATTGGCCCGGCTGGGTTAGCCCCGCCTCCCCCCCCTCCATTGGTTCCCTGGGCCAGCCCCGCCCTCCCGCTCCGGGCTCACGCGGCGCTCGCGTGATCCCGGGAGACTGAGTGGGGCCTGCTCTTCATTTCGTTGGCCACACGTGACACTTTCCGCACTTAGCACCGTCCCTTCCCTGTTTCCAGGTCCTCGAGCATTCCCATTGGCCAAATCAATTGCTACACGTGACATACTCGTTTTTTTTAAAGCCCCTATTTGGTGCTGGGTCGTTACTTTTTTTTAAAGACGACGGGTAAGGGGATCTCAACCCTTGACTTGGTGTTGTCAGCACCACGCTCAGCCAGTGAGCGAACCGGCCATCCCTATATAGGATCCGAACCCGTGGCCTTGGTGTTATCAGCACCGCACTCTCCAGAGTGAGCCACCTGCCGGCCCTTGCGTCGTTACTTTTGAAACAGTTGGCGGGGAACGGAGCCGCTGCGGTCGCTGTCTGCCGGGTGGGAGCGCGCGCCTTTGTCTGTGGGTTTGGCCACGATGCTGCAGCTCTCCCGGGAGCGCCAAAATCGTGGCCGAGTTCTCATTTGACGTCGACAGCATTTTATATCAGCGTGGGATATACCCATCTGCAACCTTTACTGAATGCAGGAGTATGGACTCATCTTGCTTGTAACTACAGATCATGAGCTCATAAAATACCTAAACAACGTGGTGGAACAACTCAAGATAGGTTATAGAAGTGTTCACTTCAGAAACTGGGGATAGTCACCTCAAATATTGAAAGTGGCGAGGTCTTTGAAAGATAGCAATTTGATATTGAGTGTGACAAGACTGCAAAAAATAATAGTGCACCCAGAGAGAAGTCTCAGAAAGCTAGCTGGGATGAAATCCACTCAGAGATCAGACAGACCACAGCTACAGTGACATTTCTGTCACTGTTGGAAGTTTCTTGTTCATTTGATCTGATTTATGCAGACAGAGATTTGGTTGTACCTTAAAAATGGGAAGAGTCAGGACCACAGTTCATTACCAACTGTGAAGTCCGTCTTCGTTCATTTACCACTCCAATCCACAAAGTAAACGACATGGTGGCCTACAAAATCTCTGTCAAGGACTGAGGATGAGATGAGGAAGATAATCTAATTGTAGTTCTCAAATGTGGTTTTCCTGAAATCAAGTCAATTATGGTTGATAACGTTTTATTACTTTAATTTTTAAATGGGGAAAGCCAACATTATACTTTACTAAACTGTGCGTAATTGTTCCCTTTTTATTGGTACCTATTTGACTTACCATAGAGTTGACATAACGAATTTATTGCATATTGTTCAAAAGGAACCAGCAGGTTTTGTCGCATTGTAACGTCAGTTCCCTTGAAGGTGGTAACTGTAGATGTCATAATGCTAAATGCTTTCCTAAATCAGACATATGGTCAAGTAGCTTGACTCAGAGTATAGGTAGGGAGATACTTAAATATGAGATACAGCAAAAGAAGAATATTCAGAATTTTTGTTTAGATCCTGAAAGTAACTAATAATAATCCATAAGTAATGAAATACTGCTTTATTAGGTTATTCTGCCATTTATTTCATTGTATATGTTCCCATATTGAATAAATTTCCAATTTGATTTAATGTATATAACTTGAACCTATGAAGCAATGGATATTTCTGCTGTTCAATTTCCTGTGATACAGCACTCTTAAAAATGTTTTTTGTGTTTTATGTAAGATCACGCTTTAAATGAAAATGAGAAAATAAAGTTAAATTTGTATGTCAAAAAAAAAAACAACCAAAAAAACCTGTCCCCTACAGACTTCCCTCCCAGTACAATGCGGAAGAGCCACCCCATCCGCTTCCCTATTGGCCGTGACTCCATTCACTCGACCCTTCTACAAACACGCCCTCAAAGCTGGTGCTGAGCACTTGCTTCCTGGTTGGTGGCAGAGAGACTCCACGTGACTTGGCTGCTAACGCCCGCCCCACCCCTTCCCCCATTGGTTGAGACCACGGCCCTTCACCGCCCACGGTAAAGACGCCGCGCTTCGGCTGGACAGCGGATCCCGCGGGCTCGGAGCTTCCGTCACCCGGTACGGTCTTCAGCGACGGCGCCTCCCGCCCCCCTATCAGTGCACCCTCCGGGGTCCAGATGGACCGCCATCCTCTGTGACCTGGCGCAGGCTCCTGAGCAGCTCACGAGCCCGTCAGCGTCCGGGTCTGAGACAGGCCTGCCCCCTATCAGTGCACCCTCCGGGGTCCAGATGGACCGCCATCCTCTGAGACCTGGCGCAGGCTCCTGAGCAGCTCACGAGCCCGTCAGCGTCCGGGTCTGAGACAGGCCTGGGGACGGTGTGGAGGGTGTGGCCTCGGCCAGGAAGCAGGTTCCGGAAGAGCTCAGTTCGGGACTCTGTGGACTCGGGCCCGGAGCCTTGGTCTTGTCGGGCCTCAGCTTCCCCATCTGCACACTGAGGAGGCGTGGTCCAGTAGCCCCCATCGTCACTCGGTTTACAGAAGCGGAAACTGGAGCCCAGACAGGGGAAGCAGGTGGCCCCACGTAGCTGAGCGAATCAGAGCGGCTGGAGTCTAGGACCTGCGCCTTTTGACCGAAAAGAGCTTTTCTCTCTGTATTTTCCCCATTCAAATTCATTGTCTAAAAAAAAAAAGAACTTAACTTTTTAAGCAGTTTTCTTTTTTCATATTTTTCTATTGACCTGTATTTATTTATCAAATGTTACTAGCTGATAACTCATAAGCAGAACAGTAGTTTTTTTCCAGATACTGAAACAAAATCTGATAATCTATAATTCTCTGTTTCTTCTTGTTTCCTGGAGCTATCTGTTCTGTAGTCTTCTGATATGCTTTCAAAGTGGAATGTTTAACTAAGAGGACAGCTGAACAGCTGGTATCTTAGATATTTGACCTCTTCCTTCTTTGGAAACTCATATTCTGGGTTCCATTTCTTCCTCTCAACTCTCCACGTGAAGGTGGCACCCCCCTGACTCTCCAGACCTTAGGTGATGTCCTTCAGGCACTTAGGGCCTAATTCAGCCCTGCCCTGGTGCTTCGCAATGCGACACCACTTGGCAGATAAGAGCCATCTTCAGGGTGTTCACTGTTGATTCCTGGGCGCTAAAAGGACTTGGATTTCTGACTTGCCTCAGGGGCTCTGATTAGCAGCCTCTTTCTGCTCCTTCTCACCTGCTCCCTCTTTGGTCCTGGCTCTAATCCCTCAGCCACATTCATACTTACTCCCCTCCCCTGAGCCTATTCCTCACCCACCTCCCATCCCAGCCTGAAGCTGAGATCCGAGCCCCTAGGATGGAGAAATGGGGAAGAGCTCTCTATGGCAGATTCATTAAAACTCAAAACATTTCCCATATGGTCGATTCCTCTTGTCTCTACTTTTAAGTTGGGGTTAGGTTGGTTGGTGAGTTATCTGAGAATGGGGGTCCCAAGACTTATTAAATGTGTAACTATAGTTATTAAGTGTAAAACTGTAGTTGGGAAATCAGAGCCCCTAATTTTGTTGCCTTGGTTCTGCATTTATTTGTAATTCAACACACATTTTTTGGGTACCTGTCCAGTGCTGAGTGCTAGGGGTACAACAACCAGTCCCTGCCCTTATAGAGCTCACAGTTTAGTGGGGGGTGGGGGGGCAGGCAATAAAATATAAATAGTCCTAGTAATCATAATTTATAGTTAGGATATAATTTTTCTGGCACTATGATTATAGCCATAAAGAAGCACAGGAGCTTTGTGAAGGTATGACAGGGATCTGTCTGACCTAGTCTGGGAGAGGGGAGATCAGATGGCTTCTCTGAAGAAGTGATGAGTGACTTTGAGCAGGCCCTGAAGGTGTAAATAGGTGAAATGGGAGTGGGGTGTGAAGAGTCGCATATGCAAAGGAACAGCATATGCAAAGGTCCTGAGTCAGAAAGGAGCATAGCCTACTTACGTAACAGAAGAAGGTGACTTCTACTCTCCACCTGGAGTGGAGACAGCAGTGGCGGGGGGAGAATGTGGTACCAGCAGGGGTCAGGTGAAGGTGGCCTTTTAAGCCAGGTAAAGATCTTTGGTCTTTATTGAACAACCATTAAGCAGAGAATGATGTCACTGGATGTGCCTTTTGTTAGAGAGATTCTGAGATGTGCTTCTGCGATGTGGTTGCCTCTGAAAAGTACCCGGCAATACTGGTTTTAAAATCAACAAACATCCTTGTCAATGTACAGCTGATCTCAGAGGAGAACATGGGAAATCTCCTGGGCCAAAACCGTGCTGGTGGTGTCCACTCACATTTGCCATGACATTATTTGCCAATACAGAGACCATGGATTTTAACAGCTGCCAGGCCTTGGGCCGGGCTGTTTGGGAAGAAACAGGCTGCTGCATTAAGCTGCACTTTCTTTTTCTTTTTCTTTTTTTTCTAAAAAAAGATGACTGGTAGGGGGAACTTAACCCTTGACTTGGTGTTGTCAGCACCACGCTCTCCCAAGTGAGCTAACTGACCATCCCTATATAGGGATCCGAACCCGTGGCCTCGGTGTTATCAGCACCACACTCTCCCAAGTGAGCCACGGGCCGGCCCAAGCTGCACTTTCAATGAAAAAATTTGACAGGAAAAAAGTCTGATTGATGCCACTAGGGTACACCTAGGAAAGGTATCCCTCTCAGATTGGGGTGTGGTTGGGGGGAAAGGAATTTTTCCCCAAAGAATTCATAACCACAGGCCTTCCATCTGGCCTGATTGTGGTTTGGATTTACCCTTATGGAATGGTCCAGGAAACTCCAAGCATAGAAATGAACTGAAAATAGGCTCTGGCTGAAGCTGGGGAATACACATTCAACTCAGGCCATGCAGGATCACAGCAGATTAAGAACTGAATTTAAGCTCACAATCTGCAACTGAAAAGCACACAAGAGAATGAAGTGAGCAGCAAGCATGGGCTGTTGGTTCCCTT